TTCCAGGAGAAGAAAAGGCACTAGAACTACCTGATAGGGAATTCAAATCTCTAATATTCAGAGCTATCCAAGAGTTGAAGCAAAACGCAGATGAAAATGATGAAAAAATAGACAAATTCATGGAAAAGGCAGACAAATTCATGGAAAATACAGACAAGAAAGTGGAAAAATTCAGGAATAAATAAATACCAATTCAGGAAAATAATACAGAAACATAACATGGAGGAATCTGGAAGGTATTATGCTGAGTAAGTTTAGTCAGTCACAGAAAGACAAATATTACATAAGACCACTATCATAAGAACTCAACAAAAGGTTTAAACACAGAAGAAAACATTCTTTGATGGTTACGAGGGTAGGGAGGGAGGGAGAGGGTTATTCACTAACTAGATAGTAGACAAGAATGATCTTAGGTGAAGGGAAGGACAGCACATACTACAGGGGAAGTCAGCACAACTGGACTAAACCAAAGCTAAGAAGTTCTCTGAACACAATCAAACACTTTGAGAGACGGAGTAGCAGGAGCCGGGGTCTGGAGACCGTGCTTTCAGGGGATATCTAGGTCAACTGGCATAACAAAGTTTATTAAGAAAATGTTCTGCATCTCACTTTGGTGAGTGGCATCTCGGGTCTTAAAAGCTAGCAAGGGGCCATATAAGGTGCATCAATTTGTCCCAACCACCTGGAGTAAAGGAGAATGAAGAACACTAAAGTCACAAGGAAAGTATTAGCCCAAGAGACAGAAAGGGCCACATAAGCCAGAGACTTCATCAGCCTGAGACCAGAAGAACTAGATGGTGCCTGGCTACCACAATGACCACCCTGACAGGGAACACAACAGAGAGTCCCTGATGAAGTAGGAGAACGGTGGGGTGCAGAACTCAAATTCTAGTAAAAAGACTGATTTAATGGCCTCACTGAGACTGGAGGAACCTCAGAAAGCATGGCCCCTGGACTCTCTTAGTCAACCCCGAACTAAAACAATTCCCAAGGCCAACTCTTCCGACAAAGACTGGACTGGACTGTGGGACATAAAAGGATACTCGTGAATAGTGTGCTTCTTTGCTCAAGTAGATACATGAGATTAAATGGGCAGCTTCTGTCTGGAGGTGAGATGAGAAGACAGAGAGGGTTAGGAGCTGGTTGAATGGACACGGGAAATCAAAGGTAGAAAGGAAGAGTGTGCTGTATAGGGAGAGCAATTAGGGTCACATAACAATGTATGTATAAATTTTTGCATGAGAGACTAACTTGAAACGTAAACTTTCACTTAAACTACAACAATAAACAAACAAAAAAGCTAGAAACAGAAGTACCATACAATCTAGCAGTCTTGCTCCTTGGAATATATCCTAGAAAAATAACAGCTGTCACATGAATAGATATATGCACACCCGTGTTAACTGCAGGACTGTGCACAATAACAAAAAGATGGAAACAACTTACGTGTCCATCAGTGGACAAAGGGATAAACCAATTACGGTACATTCACACAATGAAATACTATGCAACGACAAAGAACAATGATGAAGCCATGAATCATCTTATAACATGGAAGAATCTGGAAAGCATTATGCTGAGTGAATTCAATCAGTCACAAAAGTACAAATATCATATAAGACTACTATTATAAGAACTGAAGAAAAGGTTTAAACACAGAAGAAAACATTCTTTGATGGTTCCGAGGTGGGGAGGGAGGGAGAGGGTTATTCACTAACTAGAGAGTAGACAAGAATTATCTTAGGTGAAGGGAAGGACAGCACATACTACAGGGGAAGTCAGCACAACTAGACTAAACCAAAGCTAAGAAGTTTCCTAAATACAACCAAACACTTCGAGGGACAGAGTAGCAGGGGCAGGGGTCTGGGAACCAGGCTTTCAGGGGACATCTAGGTCAACTGGCATAACAAAATTTTATTAAGAAAATGTTCTGCATCCTACTTTGGTGAGTGGTGACTGGAATCTTAAAAGCTAGTGAGTGGCCATCTAAAATGTATCAATTGGTTCCAACTTACCTGGAGTAAAAGAGAATGAAAAACACCAAAGTCCCAAGGAAAGTATTAGCCCAAGAGACAGACAGGGCCACATAAACCAGAGACTGCATCAGCCTGAGACC